CACAGGGTAAGAGCATGTACACAAGCAGCTAACATAGAATAGCTGGTGCATAGATTGGTTCATTTACATTGCTATGCTGTTTACACTGTTTCAAGTCTGTACCATAAAAGTAAAAAATGCATCACTAGATGATAAAAAGTTACAAGAAAACCAAGGTCAAAAACACTGGGAAAAATATCAAATTAACATTATGCAGAATTACCAAAAAAGTAGCCATTATTGATCTCAAGGGTTTTTAAAAAATGTTTAATAATGTACTGTGTGTCCATTTATCCTACTTTGGTGGATAAATCCAAATATACCAGGTATCAGTTCCCCCTGGGAGTGAAAAAGGAACCTTCAGGATATGTATTCCATACTTCCATCCTCTCCACCAGCCCAGCCCAGGATTTTACTACCATGAGCAGAAAGAGACTTAGTTAGCTGTGTTAGTCTGCAGTCAACTATAAGACAGGGTAGATTTTCACTTTATAGACTAACCAAATATATTAATTGCATATATATATTAGCACAAGCTTTCATGAGCAGACGCTCACTTCATCAGATGCTGCTTTCTGTACATATTTCACAGTATCTGATGAAGTGAGCATCTGCTCATGAAAGCTTGTGCTATATATATCTATATCTAGTATCTATAACCAAAGATATAGATTTACTTTGATTAATCTATAAGGTGAAAATCTACCCTGCCTTCTATTTTACCAAAGATCCACCCATACTAGTTTATCAGCTTTTCTGTTCTGCTAATAGAAGCTTTTAGAATAAAAGGGTTGGCAGGCTTTTCCTGACATAGGATGGAAGCTGCAACTTATCTGTGGCTGTGGGCTGGAATTCTCTGCCCCCCACAGTGGCCAGCTGCCTGCACTCACCCTTGCTGCAGATTCTTCACCCCTCTGCAGCAATGGCAGCACAGACATAGCAGAGCAGTGGGCTCCAAAGTAGACAGGAGCAGCAGCATGGTGCAGCTCCATGCTATCATTTCCTGTGCAAGATCGAGGCTTTGGGAATTAGATATGGCTTTTGTGTCATAGGTTGCTGACTCCTGTTCTACAGCATACACCTTGTTCAGCCCCTTAGCAACTTGTATACAACCAGCATAGACACCTCAGACCTGTGCACATTAAATGTCAGGACTATCACCTAAAATTCAACAGTTATCATTTCAGGAAAAAATGTAATCTCACTGTGTAGCCCAACCTTACATATTTTAATATCACAGGGCACATCTATGTGTGCTATTAAGGTGATTGAATAAACTCCATTGCAGTTTATGTCAGAGTTTATTGCTCCTGGCTGCTCTATTTACATGTGCACCCAGGACTGCATCATGTTGGGCCAGGGCAGAGCAGCTGTGGCTGGCAGGGGTTTCTAGGGGTCAGCCTGCCAGCCCAGGGCTGCTCAAGCCCAGCTCAATGCACTGCAGAGGGTCTGGCTGGGCCAGCAGGCAGCACCTGCACTAAAGTACCCTCATGCCCCAGGCAGCACCATCAGTGTCTACAAGTTGTGAAGCAGACACACACACAGGAAGGTGGAAAGGTGACTTGTGCATGGGGTACCTCCTTCAACTCTCCTGCCATGCCTTGATCTTGAGATGTTATTAGTACCTTCGTGAGTGCACTCATGCTATGGAGGCTCCTGGGGTTCTTCCTCCCCTACACACCATCCACATGCCAACTAAGCTCAAGATGGTGTCAGCAGTCCTGCTCTCAGACTACCCTGGTCTGATGTCGATGGCACACACCTGTGCCCTGGCGATGCCTGGTCCTCAATCAGTTTTGGCCCCCAGGTCTTCACTATTCTCGTCACATAAACCATGGGGTTTGAATCCAGCTTCACAAAAAATTAATTAACTCCTGGATTTACTTAGAACAATAAAGTCCATATGCAATCCTGGGTGAGCTGCAACCAATTAACTCAGGGGTCACCCCACATTAACATCACACTGATTAATCCATGGGCTTCCTTTAATTAATCCTCATTAAAAAAAACCCATCCTCATAAAAAAACTAGGCAACTGTGGCAGTGATGCCTACACAGTCAGATGGATTGCAGATTAGCTGAAGGGTCGTACTCAGAGGGTGGTGGTGGATGGGTCATATTTGACCTGGGGGGAAGTGGGCAGTGGAGTCCCCCAGGGCTCGGTTCTTGGGCCTGCGCTGT